GAGTCAAGTTTGAATTGATTATGCTGAGAGAATGGAAGTAGGTCACATGTGGATTTAAGACCCTTTCTACGGTCGATTGTACATCAACCACTCCCTATGGTTATCACCATTTGAAATTACCAGAAAACTTAATTGATAATGGCCAAGACAAACATTTAGGTACATGTTTTGATTAGATTATTTTGTGTTCAAAAAAACTTATCATTAAAATGCTGCATTGTGTAAAAATTAATTTAAACCAAACATGTGCCCGAGCTGCGAAACCAGTAAAGGGCCGGAGGAATGAGAGAGAAGCTCCTTCATCATGCTCAAACACACACCGAACTCCTTCTAACTCAAATGGTGCCCAATTATGCAATTCACCACAAAAACCTCTCTTTTCCTCCAGAGAGGGAGGGATACATTGAGGGCGTCGCTGTTCTCCTTTTCCTTAATTTTCTGGTGAACGAAATCGAGGAGGGTGTAGAAGCGGTCCATGCCTTGCTGACATTGCCCTAGTTTGATCGGAATTAGGGCATGGAGCCACCGGAGGAAGAAGGGGACCATGGATCCGACCCGATTAGGGTAAATTTTGGGGTAGGTTTCGTAGGGGTAGTGGGAGGATTGGAGGTCTTCGAGGGAATCGAGCTCTGCGGAGGCTTCGTTGAAACGACGTAGTTTGGTGAAAGCGAGGGCGTTGAGGGAACTCATGTCGTGGCACTGGTCATTGATTTGCTTCAAGAATGGGTGGGTCTCGGGATCGGAGGTTGCGAGGTCAGATTCCATTGCCATGCCGTTGATGGAGGCACGACAGAGGAGTAAGCAGAAAATAGTTCAGTGGAGAAGAAAGGAGCAGGCGTTGTTGCAAGCCTGCTAGTGTGTGATTCGTTCGAGGTAGCTTTGAAGTTCAGTTTGTGTTCATGTGGGGTTGCTTCAAAAATCACCTTCTTGCAAGTGGAGATGAGTGTGTGCGATAGTGTTGAGAGGCGCTAAAGGTACTGTGTTTGATGGAGGAGGCCCATGGGCTAAGGGCCCAACTAC